GGGTGGGGGGGGCTCCACTCATCTGGGTTGTCACCTGTTCAGTGTCACCTGTCTGAAGAGGGGCACTCCCTGGGGCAGTTCTGGTTCCTCCTGTGGGTCATTACAGCTGAAGGCTGCAGTTATTTCTTTGTTACCGTACCTGAACCTGATACAGGTTTTGATTTATCATTAATGCTTCGTCCAGTGGAGCAGGAGTAAAGAGTTTGTCTTATTTTGATGTTAAACGTCTCTAAAGAACACCTCCTGCAGCTTCATTATTCAACTGAAAGACTAAAAAAACACTGATGTTATAATTTGTCTGCGACGTTTAAACTATTTTACATTCATTTTGATTTATTCTCACTTCATTAAGTGTAAGAATCAGTCACTGAAAGCGAAGCCGCTGCATTATTTAAATTTATTTCCTTTTGTTTTGCCTCTGAGTCGCACAACTCCACATCAGCGAGGTAATTACCATAACACACCTCATCAAGTCTGAATACAGCAGAGAACAGCAACACACGAGTATAATTATCTGGCAAATCAAAGTTTAATTAGATTTTAATTAGAATGTTAATTCTTTTGCACACCATTTGGTTTCAGTATATGCAGGCTTACTTTGTGTTTCCTGAGCAGAGCTCCACAACACAAAGAGAAGACAAAAACAACAACAACCATGTAGTTCCCATTATTTGGAAACTATATGAAAATCCAGTGGCCTGAGAAAATAGTTGCTGCGCATCAATTTGTCACGGAGGGGCTTTAAAGCTGGGGGGAAATCAAAAGTGACAGTTAAAACAACAAGAATGATTTCTGTAAGCAGCGAGGTGTGGAAGCTAATCAGGAGACAAAACCGTGACAAAAAATTAAAAGTGCAAAAACAAACAATTATTTCTTAAAGTTAGAGTTAAAGTCTGGTGTTTCTTCAAGGAAAGTGTCAAATTTTAGCTCGATATTTAAGAAATCGAACGATTTTTATCCTTTTTTGTGTTATTTTGCTTTGGGAACCATTTTGATTTGGTTTTAATTGAAATTAATCAGTTGTATTTTAATGATTATTAAGGAAAAATTGGAAATTTTAGGACAAAAAATCTAAAACAGTCCAAGTTTTTTTTTCTCTACCTTTAAGTTTCCTTGAAGTTTGTGCTCAACATAATCTGCCCAAATGTAATTGGCTGTATGACAAAGTATATAAACCTTGGAAAAATATCATGTATATAGCTAAAAAAAACTCATGGAAAGCATAAATGTTAAAGTTTAATCCTGCTCTCAGTACATGTGGGGTGCCGTTTGTAAAGTTACACAGTCAAAAATTACCACCAATATTTTTGTTTTATTTAACCTTTTATAAGAAAAAACAACAGATTTATTTTTCAAAGTCAGTTTTTCACCAAATGATTCATACATTTATAAATGTCATAGTTTATAAACNATGTGGTGTCCAGTTGAACAGGTAGTTGTTGTCAGTCACCTTGAGCTCAGCCTCTGTTTGCTGTTTGTCCACAGTGAGCTGGGACAAGGACTGCTGCAGCGTCTGGGCCTGAGCTGAGAAGAACTCCCTCTCCTGCTGCAGGACTTTAGCTCGCTGCTCATTCTCCTGGAGCCTAAAGCAAACACACACAGTGCAGCCAGAAAATCAACACACACAACATTTATTAAAGGCACAGTGCGTAGGATTTGTTGTTTTCAGCCACATCTAGTGGTTGAGTGGTTAAACTGGTTAAGCTAAATATTTAACTTAAATATTTAGCTAGCAAATTAAAGATTTAGCTAGCCGCATAAATATTTAAGTTAAATATTTAGGTAGCTAGCTAAATTTTTAAATTGCAACCTAAATATTTAGGTAGCTAGCTAAATATTTAAGTTTCAAGCTAAACATTTAGCTCAGAACTAAATATTTAAGTCAGAAGTTAAATATTTAGCTTGTTAAGTAAATATTTAATTTGTAAGTTAAATATTTAGTTTATAAACTGACATTTATAAATACAGTATATGAACCATTTGGTGAAAAACTGACTTTGAAAAATAAATCTGTTCTTTTTTCTTATAAAAGGCTAAACAAAACAAAAATATTGGTGGTAATTTTTGACTGTGTAACTTTACAAATGGCACCACATACAGTACAGTTGGTGTGGTGCCAAAACTAATTCTGAAGCAGATAAATAAAAGATGCACAAATATAAAAGAAAACGACATTAAAACGTCTACACTTAAAAAACAAAAACATAAAATTGAAATATTAAGCTTGTTTCACTCCTCTTACTGATTTCGAAAAGTTTACTTTGAATATTTCTTCATATATTTGCAGCAGAAAAACACACTTTCCAGGTTCGTCTTGTTGAAGGTCTTCGACGTTCAGAGTTTCTGTTAAAAACTAAAAGTCATTATCAATAACTGGAGAGGCGTCAAATGATCAAGAGAAGCAACCAAAGAAGTATTAGTCACAATAACAAAGATGCACTGAGCCCTAATAGCATCTATAACTCATAATTACCTTAATAACTGTTATTTTAGCTTGTTTTTCCTGCGCTCACAACACACTGTTTGTCACTGATGGCATCTTAAGTTGAAATTGAGTGCCTTGCCCAGAAGTAAACAGCATCTATCAATCATGACTCCAGGCCAAGAGTCAAAACTCACAAAAGCCAACAGTGTGTGTGTGTGTGTGTGGATTTGTGTGTGTTTGTGTGGTAATTACACACATCTTGAGTTGTTTCTAACGAGTCATTTTTCACGTTGTTGCAATGAGCAAACTCAGCTGCTGCACATCACCTTCATCTGAGGAAGTTTTTCCAGGCTGGACGCAGATGGTTGGAGGAGATACGGGGACCGGACGTGTCCTCCTCAGAGGTCCTTAAAGGAGAGCGGGTGGGGGGGGGGGGGGTCTGTCTACACCTGAGGGTCTGACTGATCGTCTCGTTTGTTTTATTCGCAGTGTGAATCCGCCGAGTAAAAAAAAAACAGTTTATTGTGACCTAAACTAACGTGAGCACACCTGTATTTACCTGTCAGCAGTTTGTCCTCCTCTGGTCTAAACCGGTTTGTCTCAACAGCTCAACTCTTCATGTGGTCTGTAAGGATCCTCCAGACCAGGTCCAGTCCAGCACACTGTTCATTTTACAGGCTGTCAATTATGAGGTCAATAAAACCTTTTTATTATTTAGCTCACTGTTCTTACGTTTGGCTAACATTTACAAAATGTTGAATTTAAATGTTAAAACATATATTTAAATATTAAATCCTAAATCTAAATATTAAACGTTAAACGTTGAAGTTCACGTTTAGGTATTTTGGAATGGAACGCAGCCTTTGCTGGTGGCGCTCGGCTCATTATGATGTCATCATCCTGAGACGATAGCAACCGCTATAGCGCTCCAACATTTAACTTCATCATTTCATCCTTCCTTATCTTCCCTGCTTTGCTGCTCGGAGCCTTCTCTACGTTTTTCATCCAAAACCAGAAATTATGGGTATTTTTATTTTCATGGATTTGGTTAGCTGGTCTCTTAACAAATTTTTGGAACTAAGTTTTTTCTTCCATGAGAGGACATGTCAAAGGTGGGACCTCTGTTCTTCTCTGTTCTGGGTTTTGGATTCCGATCACTGGATTCTACAGATTGGCTTGGTGGTCTCCTGGTGTTTCTACAAAACAATGCTGGTGGCTTTTCATCTCCTGGCTGACTGACCAATATGAAGGATTGCCGTTCTATCAGCACTCAGACTTTTGTCTTGAGCGAGCTGGACTCGGTCTGCAAGCGGTTCTATTGAGGGTCGCGGGCCGGCTGTGGTCCCTGGACTTTGCTGGCCAGATGGAATTGATCTTGGAGAAAGCTGATAGCTCGGCTCAGTGGAGTTGTCCACACTATTTGTCTGATTGGATTCACCACCTTGAGATGTACCAGTGGACATTGAAGCAGATGGAAAATTGTAATTGACTGCCTGACTCTTCTGTTCCCAAACAACTGATCACAGATCTGGCTCTCCTCTACAACGGCCTTGAAGAGCTGTGGACTAAATTCTTCCTGGTTGGTTACGTCGACAAGGTTCTGCCCCACACCTCCCCCCCACTCACACCCGTCTGTGATCTGGTTCCTGGACCAGGCTGAGGGCCACACAGAATGAACAGTTACCATCAATATCCTGAAGGCTGTGCTGGTTTTGGGGACTGGATACTTCAGGCTCATTCTTCAGATGTTCACACAAGCATACAACACTCATGGTTTCACATACATGCCCCCTAAACTCACTTACTCCTCTGGCTAATAAATCTGCCCTATACAGAGTTTTTTTTTATAAACACCATAGTGTCACAGTGTTGATGTAATTTGATGTTTAGTTTTTTTCCCCTCATCTTCCCTTGTGTGGTTTTTAGTTTTTCTGTTAAGGGTAGCACCTCCTCATGACGTCTTCATGAAGATGATCCTTGCGTTATGCAGGGTCAGTGGCTGCATGATCCAGACCTGTTCTCCCATGTTTGTTATGTTCGGTCTTCTTCTGAATGGGTGTTCTGAACTGTAACTTCATTGTGCTCTGTACGATGACAATAAAGGTCTCTCTCTCTAACGTTTAACTTTTAGATTTAAATATTTAGATTTAGGATTTAAACTCCTCAAGTGGAGGAGTTTAARTATCTGGGGATCTTGTTCACGAATGGGGGAAGAAGGGATCGGGAGATCGACAGGCGGATTGGCGCAGCGTCTGCTGTAAAGCGGGCGCTGTACCGGTCCGTCGTGGTGAAGAGAGAGCTGAGTCAGAAAGCGAAGCTCTCGATTTACCGGTCGATCTACGTTCCTACCCTCATCTATGGACATGAGCTTTGGGTCATGACCGAAAGAACGAGGTCCCGGATACAAGCGGCCGAAATGGGTTTCCTCCGCAGGGTGGCTGGGCTCTCCCTTAGAGATAGGGTGAGAAGCTCGGTCATCCAGGAGGGACTCAGAGTAGAGCCGCTGCTCCTCCACGTCGAGAGGAGCCAGTTGAGGTGGCTCGGGCATCTGGTAAGGATGCCTCCTGGACGCCTCCCTGGTGAGGTGTTCCGGGCACGTCCCACCGGGAGGAGGCCCCGAGGAAGACCCAGGACACGCTGGAGGGACTATGTCTCTCGGCTGGCCTGGGAACACCTTGGAGTTCCCCCGGAGGAGCTGGAAGAAGTGGCTGGGGAGAGGGAGGTCTGGGCCTCCCTTCTGAAGCTGCTGCCCCCCATGACCCGACCCCGGATAGGTGGAAGAAAATGGTTGGATGGATGGATGGATGGATGGATGGATGGATGGATTTAGGATTTAATATTTAAACATTTAAATTTAACATTTACACCAATGAGCTAAATAATGGAAAAGTTCACTCAATTACACTCAATTCAGTTGTGCCATAAAGAAGCTAAACCTCGTGGACTCGTCCCTGAGACCCTCAGATCACCATTATCTGAAAACATTTCCTCGTTTGGTGTTTTGATGACTGTTTACAAACTGTTATATTTAAATAACATCATATCGATCAGAGCCCTGAATGAGACCTGGCAGGAAACTGGATTGTTCTGGAGAACTCTGAGTTGTTTTGGGTTAATTTTCCGATAAAAAGCCTTGTGATTAAGAACACGACTCCAAACTCCTCGGAGGCAGACGTTTGCGTTCAGAGCAGGCCGGGCGGCGAGGCGAGGCCTCGTCCAGATAATGAAAGAGTCCACGTTTGATCCCCTCGTCAGCTCCCGGTAATTGTTCCTGATTCCTACTTTGTGTTTCACGCTTGACTCGTATCGGATATGAAGACGTGTTCGCTCCCCCTATCAGCGCCGGCAGAGTTCACTGATTAACAAATTAAGGATCTTCTTTGCTTTAATCTGTCTGGAGGCTCTTTTTTTTTTGTCAGTTGGCTCTTGCAGAAACATGTTTGGCGATGACAGCACCTCTGCTCCCAGATTTAATTGGATTAGAGGGAAGTTGGGAATAAAGCATTCGGAGACGGCGGGTTACTGCTGAGATGTGGCGGGTTTGTCCGAGCTGATGGGAGGAAGCGAAAGCGCGCTCGTTAATTTGTGGAAACGTTTCGTCTCTCTCGAGCTCACAGATTAATCTTCAGAGAACTCCAGATATTTCCTCAGAAACATGAGTTGGACGTGTGTTGCTAACGTGTTAGCTTCAGCACCTCGTCTCGGCTGTGTTTACGTGTTTTGGTCCATTTATAAAAGTCGTGGACGCTCAGAGAAGCTTTGCTTTGTTTTCCTCCTCCTGTCTGAAGTGATGAAGATGAGATGGAAGAAGAGAAGGTGAAACCAGGTCATCTGAAACATTCGGACAGATTTGAAAATTAAAGCTCAGATGTGATTCTGGGAAACAAATGTAAACAGAACTCATAATATTTATCAGACTCTGATTGTTGCAGCAGCAGAAACCTGTTTGACATGAGATGTTTCCATGGTGGAGTCATTAAAAAAACACTTTTCCACAAATGTTTTCAAAGTTTGTGAAGAGTTGATCGGATCCAGACCAAACACAAAAAATTATTTCATCAGTAGAAAAACTTCTGGATGGTTTTAGCTTCAAAACTACTCTGGATTAAAGGAGGAAAAAAATCATCCAAACCAAAAGGAAAAATTGGCAAAAACTTTGGCTAATTGTAGCTAAAAGCTAATTTAGCGAACACTACTGTATATACATACATACATACATACATACATACATACATACATGCATACATACATACATA